AAATTAACAATGCATAATACACATATCTATTTATTTGATTAATATATCTATTATTTATATAACTTATTCATATATATCTATTTAAAATAAAATCACCTAAGGTATCCCTTGAGGGCTGGTACTTTAGACTTTATTTATTGCTATTTCGTGATGATTAATAGTTATTTTTTTACATATGTAAGGTAAAGGTGTATGTAATAATATTGGAATAAATCATAAATTTTTGGTTACTGCACATAATCCATCTCTGACACAAAATACTAACCCTCAGACTTCCTTGCAAAAACTGATCGGCATTCCGGGATATTATACTTTGCTCAAACACTTGAACATTACACAGATAAAGTAAGTTCGTTACTAAATGGCAGACATCGAAGAGATCATTGACTTATATGCGGAAATACCTACTTTTCATCCTGATTATAAGCCTATTATAGATAAAATGCCACAAAGTCTAGTCAAAAGAGCTTTTGATCAATTACTTAATATAAAACGTAATCCTGTTTTACCAGAAGAAATTACAGAAAAAAGTGATCGAATTGAGCAATATTTGCGACATAAATTAATTGTTTATGAACAGGCAAAAAGTCGAAAGGCTTTTATTTATAGTATGGATACTGGAATGCAGACAGGGAATAGTAGTTTCTCAGATAAAGCAATACAAACTGATTCTTTGGATAAAGCAACCCAAACAGAAGGTATCGATTTCTTGGAGCAAATTAAAAAAGCTAATATATTCTTAACTGATGCAATAAGCATTTTATCTAATATCTAATTTCTATATCATTCTCAATTCTAGTAAAATAATTATATTTTTTTTCTGGCTTCGAACTTGTTAGAAGCTGGCATGCACAAATTAATAGTTAATATTTCATCCTGATTACAACCCCATTATAGCGAAACTTCCAAAAAGTCTGGTCAAGAGGGCATATCATAGGCTTTTATATCACACTAGGTCTCCTATTACATCAGAGCAAATTTCTGAAAAATGTGATCGAATTGAGACTTATTTGTATCATACATTAGAGGTATATGAAAAAGGATTAAATAGGAAGCGTAAAAAACAAATACAAATTATAGAACCACTTGAAAATTTATCATATAATAGTAAAGCTAGTGTCAAGACACATATAGACATGGTTAACCAAGAAATACAAACTCCAGATACTAATACCTGTACATGTGATCATGAGGAGGAGATTAATCGTCGGGTTAAGAAAGAGGTCAATGTTTTATGTCAGCGATTACTGGAACATAATGAAAAAACTTTTGGTAAATTTATGCGAGAAATCACTATGGAACATGAGGATAGAGTCAAAGCTAATAAAAAATTACGATGTGAGGTTGAGGAAAAAAAGATAGAATTACAAGAGGCAGAAAAATGTCTCGCATATCTGAAGTCACGCTCTATTCATTAGAAAGATTTAAGGATGTATCCCAACCCAATCTAATAGCAAGTGGGTTATCTACTGCCTTGGTAAAATCAAAAACCACGAAATCTCGATCCTGCAAATGCTTGTCAATAATCTTGAATGCTTTTTTTGGATTGTTTGTATACTGGCGTACGATTCTATGAATGTCGTCTCGGCTTCCTGCCCCCCGAAAAAGAGCTAAATGTGAGATGTTTTCACGGATAATTTTAGGAGTTTGTGTATACTTCTGGCTTACATATATGGGTGAGATATTTTGATGCCGACCACTAATGAAGTAAGAAATAATTCGTTCTTGCACTTTTTTCAGTTCGGCGCATAGATCCTCAAATACAACAACTATACTTCGCTCTGGAGAGAATTTAGTTATATCTGGAATTTTATCTGGAGATATTCTTTTAAATGTGACATCTTCTCGA